TCTTCCCAAGGACCTCTCCAGGTGTGCGGCCTGTCTCCACCCGCACAGCACGGTTAGGTCCCGTCAGGTTGGGGCCGCCTCCCGCCCTGCAGGATCCGGCGTTCCTGTCAGAATCAGGCGGCGCGGGGTGGCCAGAGCGAGGCCAGTCTCCGTGTGTTTAGGGTAGTCTGCTCATGGGTGTTTACCGGAAATGCCTTCCGAGAAGGTTCTTAGAGGACTTGAACTTAGCACCCTGTTTCTGCAGTTCCAGGTAAGAGTCTGTTTTCAAGGCTCATGTCACAGAAGAATGGCTCTTGGCCTAAATTCAGTCTCTAGTGAGTCATTAAAGTACAGAAGACCTTACCTCTGTTGTTTACTCTTAAAAAACTCACTTTCTGGGGGACCAGCAGATGGCGTGATTTGTGTGTGTGTGGCACACCCAAAATCCCAAGAGAAGAATGCAGAAGGGATTGCAGTGAGGCCTTCCTTCTTGGGGGGTGATTTCTTGTTTTCTCTCTCTCTCTCTCTCCCTATGCTTCTTCTCTCCCCCCGCCCCCTCTGGCAAATGCACATGCCCAGTAGCAAAAACCTCTCTTTAAAAAAGGGGAAAAACACACTTTCTGGGGGCCAATATGTGGTGCGGTGGTCAAGGCGGCTAGATCTCTCATGGCCAGTCGCACTGCCCAGGTCCTGGACTCCAGCTCGAAAACCACACGGGTGCATTTGCCTGCACCCACAGTCCCAGGAAGAGAAGACTGGTGTGGCTGTCACCCCGGGGGTTGACTTCTCACTTTCTCTGTCTGACAAGTGCACATGCCCTAAGGCAAATATGAACAGAACAATCACTTTCCCCTCCTGCCCAAATTCGAGCGGCTCAGAATAGGCACAAAAGCATCAGCCGGGCCGGCCCTGGTGCGGGGCTGTGCATACCGAGTCCCGGATTCCACTGCTTTAAACATGCCGGGTGCGCGTGCCTGTGTCCAGAACCCCAAAGGGGGCAGAAATGGAGGAGCAGGGACACTGCTGTGACCACCTCCCACCCGTCCCTGTCCTGAGCGCACTTACCCTCCACCGAATTCATACACGGACGGTAACTGAGCCAGCAGGCGGCATGCGTTCAAGGCAGGTGGGTCCCACACGGTGACTGCATAGTTGCGGTCCCAGACCTGGTGGCTCGAAAACCATGTCAGGAGTGTGTGCACGTGCCCCAAGTCCCAAGAGGAGAGTGGAGGAGAAGGGATCGCAGCGTGGCCCCCCCAGGCGCGATTCTCACTTTCCCTCTCTCTGTGAATCTGTCTCTCTCCATGAGCACACCTGCCCTATGGCAAATTAAATAAATAATAGGGACCCTCACACCGGGTACTTGGGTTCTAAGGGTCCCTCTGCACCCTTAGAACCTGCTACAATGAGACCCCTTTCCCCCAGTGATGTTAAACACGGTTTCAGAACGAATCCCCATGCCACCAGACCCCATCATAGACGACCATTACGGTAACTGTGTGCGTGAATCTTGCCATCCTGGTGCAGGCGTTTTCTCGTGTCACGTTTAGGGAACAGAGAAGGAAGCAGCTCCATGTGGCCCTGCAGCCCCTTCCCTCCTCTGTTCCTGCTGCCGAGGCTCCCACCCACGTCGGCCTACAGTCCCTGCGGTCTCGGGGAGGGAGTGCCAAGTCTCTGGCCGGACGCTTGTGGTGCAGAGCCGGCCAGCGATGGGGGGCTCATGGTTTTATAGCACAGCAGACAGGTGGGCAGCCAGCGAGGGCAGTCCAGGCAGCCACCCTGCGGGCTTCATTGGCAGGAGTCCAGGGACATCGCGATTTTGCTTTTGCAAACTGCAGCCCTGGCTCATCCAAAGTGCAGTCGTCGGACAGGATAACTGCAACCCGCCTGCCTGGGCAGCTCCAGCAGAGCCCCACCAAGGCGGAGAGGGCTCCACTGCCAGGGTGGGGATGGGAGCCTCAGCAAGCTCACCCTGCGCGAGCACCAGACTTCCGGCTCGTCCCGGAGAAGCCGTCATCCATCTGAACCCAGGGAGGACCTGTGGCCAGGACGAAGCCACGGCCGTCTGCGGCCCTGGAGACTGGGGTCAGGCCCTGGCGTCTGAGCATCTGTGGGGTCAGGGCAAGCCACGTGAGTGATGCTGACGGCCACCGGGCGGCGGGGAGCCCTGCCGGCACTCACACGGGGCGTCCCCCATGCGGGGTGGAGCGCAGCAGAGTCCCAGCTGCCCTGGTCAGGGGAGGTGGGGCTGTGAAGGGAACACTGAGAAGGGGAGCGTGGCTACCACGGGCCACCTGCTTGGACAGCGCCCAGTCGGGACAGCCACTCAGCCGTCCTCACTGAGGAAGGTCTCTTCCGTCCACATGTCCAGAGGGTTGGCCCAGCACCCTGGGGATCAACACTGGCGTCCATAACTCCGGAGAGCAGCTTGGACACATCCCTTGACACGACACCTTGGCCCTCCCGCTCAGACGTCCTTGTCACCGTTTGGCTCTGTGAGAACGAGGCAGGGGCATGAAATGCTTTTTATGCTATGAAACGCTTTTTCCCCTTGAATTCCTGATTTCTGATTTCAGAAGAATTATATATTCCGTATAAAAATAAGCAGCGAAGCTTTTCTGCCCAACATCTCAGCAAGGCTGTGGCGGCCCCGGCTGCATTCCTGGCTTTACAAAGCCGCCCAAGGACCACAAGAAGAAGACAGACGCCGGAAGTCAGCCAGGAAGGACAAAGACCCAGGGAACAAACCCCGGGGGCAGGACCAAAAAGAAGTGGCCCAAGGCGACATTCCGGACAAGCTCAGTAACCTGGTCTTGTTGGACGAAGCTCCATACGACAGACTCTGCTAGGACGCTCCCAGCTCTAAGCTCATAACCCGGCTGTGGTTTCCGGGAGGCCGAAGACTCCGGTTCCCTGGCCAGGGCAGCACTTCAGGAGCTTGTCAGTAAAGGGCTCATCAAACTAGTTACAAAGACAGCGCGAGTAATTCACACCAAAGATACCGAGGGTGGAGATGCATGAACAGGCACACCCAACTGTACATTTGGAAAAATAAACATTTATTAAACTGAAAAAAAACAGCAAAGATCACAGGTGGTCAGAAAAGCCATGACACATTTTTTAAGTTTTTCTATGCAAAAATGCATCATGGCTTTTTTTTTTTTTTTTTTTTTTTTTTTGTGTGGTTTTTGGCTTGA